GATACGTCTGATTCCTGCTTGGAGTAGGCCTTTTTTTGGTGTCCGCCAAAGGCTAGAAGCGAAATGTCGTGCACTACCGTGACATTCACCAAGTTTGACTTGCTTCAGTGGTCTTCCTCAGAGAAATTTTCATTTGAAATATTTAGTTGCCAATGGTAACGGAAGTGGAAAGAGTTTGCCGATACCAGAGGCCCAAAGATGCGCCCTTTGTGTGACGTTAAATCCAAGCCTAGGCTTGAAGAGACAACACTCTTTATCTCGAGACCATTACAGGACTCTTTAAGGCTTGACTTTCCCGCGGTATTTCTCAGAAGCTTCTCAGAACCTCCTGGAGTTAGTTCTCACCACTCATCCAAATTTCAACTATCATTGTAAAGTGGTCCCAGGTAGAAGTGACAACAAGGCGGTCATGCACCTTTACTTGAAATCTGAAGCCAAAACTCAACAGGAAGATTCCGGAGAAAGTGTTCATGTATAAGAACGAAATGGCTGATTTAAACAGTCTTAGAAGCAGTCCAACTTCAAAATCATATCAGTGTCTGCAAACTGGGAAATGTTTAAAGAAAATCTTCATGGAGAATCATGTTCCATCAAAAATGTCCTGAGCCAAGCGCTCTGACCCATGGATTACTATAGAGGAATACGTTGAACGTGTAAGAAAACCAACGGCTGTACAAGGCGAAGGCAACTCAGAAACCCAGTGACTGGATTGTATTCAAAGAACACAGAAAATCAACACAAACGGGCCTCAAAACCAGATATTGAATAATCCTGAAGACAAATCCAGAAGATTTCACTGGTGTCTCCCCACAAAAAAGGGTCTAGAGTGATTTTTGATGGTGAGAGTAAAGCCACCATCTTACATGAGCAATTCTGCTCAGTTTTTGCTTCTGAAGATACTTAGCTGCGGCGGTCTCTCCAATCTTAAGCTGCATTTTTCAACAGTCACCAGATACGGGATGTGTTCCCTTGGCGTTGGGAATTGCTAACATGTCTCCCATCTACCTGTATAAGAAAGCCTTGACAGAAGCACACCATCCAACTACCGCCCTGTGTCCGTCACACAAAATCATTGAACCTAATAGTTTTCAGTCAATAACGGGTCATTTTGACGATCACCTTATTCTCACAAAATGCTCAATAATGGTTTCCAACATGGGCGTTCATGTGAGACTCGACTTCTTATCACTACACAAGATATTGCCAAAGCTCTTAATGACCGTGGCCAGGTTGATGGAATATTCTTAGATTTTTCAAAGGCTTTTAACCGAGTGCCGCACCAGTGTCTCCTCTTTAAACGACACCATTATAGTATCACAAGCCCTCTTTTGACATGGATGGAAAACGTCTTGACTAAGTGATCGCGGAGAGTTGTCATAAATGGCAGCCCCTCTGATTGGGCACCTGTAACCTCAGGTGTGCCTCAAGGGAAAGTTCTCAGCCCTCTCCTGTTTTTGTCATTTATAAACGACCTTCCATTTGGCATTTCTTCCGGCAGTCGGGTTTCAGACCGCATTATTCTACTCAGACTACCGTTCTTGATGTTACTGATTTCATTTTGCATAACATGGATTCTGATAACATTACAGGTGCCACTTTTCTGGACCTGAAAAAAGCATTTGACACCGTCGACCATGACATTCTTCTATCAAAATTACACGGTTGTGGAGTCAGGGGCCTTGAGTTGAAATGGTTCGAGTCTTATTTAAGTGGAAGGGTACAGGCTACCAAATTTGGCGATGTTTTATCAGACTTTGCAAGTGTTCAAGTCGGAGTCCCACAAGGTTCGATACTAGGTCCTCTGCTTTTTACTGTTTTTTATTAACTCTCTCCCATCAAGCATTACTGCAAAATAGATATGTATGCAGATGATACACTGCTGATGTTCAAAGGAACTCCAGAGAGTTTCTGAATGATATAATGATGACAGGCATGGAGCAGTTGTGTAAATGGTTATACGAACACAAGCTCACCCTGAATGTTAGCAAAACAAAGTTCATGGTTTTTTGCACCCACCGTCGCTTATCTCACGTTGAGGTTATTCAAATTGCTTCAAACGGAGAGACTCTGGAGCGTGTCAATAGTTTGAAATACTTGGGGGTTATGCTGGACGAGTCGCTATCATGGTCGGATCACATCAACCTTGTTGCTAAGAAAATCTTGCAAAAAAATAGGCTTTCTTCGACGTTGCGCTAAACCGTGTCTTCCTGCTTCGATCTTTAAAATGCCTAGTTGTGCTATAGTTCTGCCTTTATTCGATTATCGTAGCATTGCGTGGTCCAATTGTTCTAACGGCAATATTGAGAGACTTGTTAAGCTGCACAATCGACGCGCGAGATTCTCGCTTCGAACCTCCAAATTACTCGTTTGGCACGCGATCGCTGTCAAATGGCTCATTCTGCATGTCATATCAGGCTAAGACCAATGCTTGCAAACACACCTTCCAATTCTAGTGACCTTGGGGTGGAATTAAGTGGACTACCCCGCAAAGGCAGGCGGAGTCCCTCTATAAATTCAAGTGTCTCCTGTAGTTTTTAGTTTGTGTTTTATTTAATCATTGTTACGAAATTTTAATTGCTGATTACTTTTATCGAACCTCCTTGATTTTTAAAATTAAATGCTATAGTTGATTACCATAACATAAATTATTAGTTTAACATCAGCATTAATTGGGGCCTGTTCATAAATATTTTTCTGTCCCTACTTTTTGGTTCTTATTTTGATGTTTTACCGGGTTGTTTTACTTTATTGTCTTGAAATAATTTTTGTGTTTACTTATTTTTATATATATTTGTTTATTCGATGATTCTATATGCTATTTTTTGTTTTATTTAAAACAAAATACATTTACTGTTTTAATTGTTTAAATTAGTTTGATTAGTTTGTATTGTGTTTTGATATTTTATCAGGGCCCTTAAGAATAGCAGTTTATAACTGATAAGGTTACCCTGTGGAAATAAAACTACCTGTAAGATCAGCCTCTTCACAGATGACTGTCTTCTTAACAGAGCTATCAACATACCCCAAGATACCACAGTTCTTCAAGAAGTCTGGACCTGGATCGCCTTCACCGATGGGTCATCACTTGGCAGATGCAGTTCAACACCGATAAATGCCATACCATGAAAAATTTCGCCGCAATACCATGAAACAGCACCCCCATACTATAGTAGAAAACCTACCAACACTTACCACCAACGTGCCCTTGTAAAAGCATATCAATGGGTGAACTAGAGCCAACAGAATCCTGAGTTTAGTAAGACGAAACCCTGGGGGGTAGGCTCCCGTCAAGATTAAAGAACAAGCCTACCTCTCCCTAGTTCGTCACCACGTTGTTATGTTGCACCATATTGAATCCTTACTCCAAGAAGGATATCTCTAGAACTGAAAACATTCAGCGCCAAGCCGCAAGGTTTGGTATTAATATGACAGCCATGTTAAAAGAACTCCAACGGTCATCTCTAGAAGAAGGATGTAACTTTAGTTTACATCTTTTTGTATAAGATCCGACACCAGATTGTCGCTGTAAACCCTGACCTATGTCTTACTCCATTGGTTCCTTCATCCACAGAATTATCGTCCAAACAAATACCAATAGATACCAGTCCAATCCAGCTCTATTGTTATTCTTTCTTTCTTCACACAGTCACTTGGTACATTGCCCTCCCTGAAAGTATCTTATGTCACCATCATATAAGGTGTTTAGAGGTAGTGCAGTTGGAGCAGGCAGCCTTATAAACTTCATGATGCCTCTTTACTTGCACTGAGGTATCTTCGTAAGCACTGATTTGCACCTACACTACACGTGCAAAGTTTCTTCACCATTATGTCCAGATTTATGTACCCTGCTGAGTATAAAAGTACTGTAGAAGTATTGCCTCTCGCCACTGTGGTGCCGGGATCAATTCCTGGCCCAGGCCATAATATTATGTGATTAGTTGTTCGTCCGTTCTCTCCTGTGCCACGAGGGTTTTTATCCTCTAGGTTGTTAAGCTTTCCTGCCTGTATATCTATTCACGATCTCTGAATGCGATCGTTGGGCAGATTTAGGTGTGGTGAGGCGCACTTAATGCCTTTGGTTCGACTTCCTTGTAGTTTGATATGTTATGGTAACAACAGCACATTTGAACATATTGTATTTGCGCTTTATGAATGAATAAGTTATTAGCACCAAGAGCATCTGAATACGACAAGGTGGGGTATGTTGCGTACAATTATACATGGATTCATACTTTGCATATTAGTATCCTTGCCGAATGAGTGTAGTCTCAGCCCATTCGAAATCTTCATATTGGCATTTCACTTTACCACGTAGTGCCTTTCCTGATCTGATTAAAGCCTCTTGCCGTTTTCCAATTGACCTTCGAATTAAGCTCAGTGAAATTAAAGGAATGTTACATCTTTCCTAAATGAACCCTAGAACAAGGCAGCCACGGGCTTCATTAAGCAAAGCACAAATTACTAAGCTTGTGTTTGTTTTCTGTTCTTGTGAACCGAGTTGTTTCTTCTTTTTTTTTCTTTTCTTTTTTTTTTTTGCATCTTTTCAGTTCAGTGGTGATTCAATTACCCTTGTAATAGATAAATTTATGCCAAAATAACAAATCAAAACGATAGGGGGCGGCTTTTATCAAAGCATACAAGCAAAGTGCAAGAAACTGATAAGTTTTTAGGTTCATGTTACTTTAAATGCCGTTGGCTCCAAGGCTCTGTATCATTTTTTTCCTGTTTTTTGCGAGAATTAATCTTTTTCATTGTCCAACTTAAAATTGTGTCTGGAATTGGAATAAGGTATTCTAGTCATGATCATTGCAAGAAAGTGGTGCGATTAATTACCATAATGGCGCTCATGAAGCTTGAGAAGTTCAACAGTGAGAAAAGTATGGTGACTGAGCTTCAAAAAGGGAAACTCCTGACCCTGCACGGTTTATAAGGTTTCACAACTGTTCCACAGTTTTGTTTACAAAAGCAACCATTCACAAAACCAAGGGAAATAACTCCGTTAGAACACATATTTAATTTCAACAGTGAAACAATTGTCAGCAGTTGGACTTTAGTATAAAGGCATTGCAAGAGCAGGGTTTTCAAAGATCTAAAACCAATAATTCATTAATCTTCACTGTTGTAATCTTCAATATTTCTCAATAATAGCACGTTTCATTCAGAACTACAGCGAATTAGAATTACGGAACTTTTCCTCTTATAGCGGACGTTATCTTGACTATCTTTGATCAGAGCTATCACCACTTGTTTTATCAAAATGTGATATGAATGTTACAAATTTCTTCCATCAAAGCAACTTATACAAACAACATTAATCAGATAAATACGTCACTTTAAACTTGAAAAGAAACGAAACGGATTATGCTGGTTATTGACAAGTAATATGTGCTACAAAGACTGACATTTGCGTTTTGAATTCATAAATACACTTGGAAATGATTTCTCTTCAGCGACAATTATCCTATTAAAACATGATTGCACCGCAAATGCAAATGCCTCCCTGTACTTCACAATAGGTGAAAGCCTCGCCTGAAACTGCTTTTTTTTCAGAATTGCATTGCTAGGTAGAGAATATATCATTACTTATACTTTGTACAGTTTCAAAGCATGTTTTAAATTGTCATAAAGAATAATTTCAAATTCTGCTTGTGATATCTTCTTTGAAGTATGTGGCTCGTTTTGTTTTAAATTCATCTTCATATCAATGTAAGTCATTTCTTTCTGTGATCTCTTCTCGGCTATTGTGTTTTGGCAAACAAAAACTCATGGATACATGAAACCCTGTAAGCAGAAATAATTTCTCATCGTCAACAACATTAATCAAGATCTACGATCACTGATTTTAAATGCAAAATTTCAAACTCAACGGTATTAGAATGAAGCAACAATAAATATACTACTTATCGTCACGATGCAAATTAAGTTTACAGCTATAACTTAAGGAATAATTTATTCTAGGGTAGAAAATATCCTTTCGGCAGACACCAAAGGGAAACAATAGCAATCACCTCTGCATCACATAAAAATACAATCAACACTCACTAATATTATTTTCCCAAAAACCATTCTAAATAATTCAAGTGTTAAACATTTTTCCTAAAGAAATTTTTTTCCTGAATTACAGATGTATGGTAACGCTGATTCATAAAAATTCTGGACCATAATATCTCGAACAACTCACAGCGAAAAGCCAATAAAGTGGGGTCACTTCAAGAAATTATTTCACTGTTCCATTAAAGATCACGGTGATGAAGAAAGCTCAAATCACCACTTTTATCGACAGCCCAGAAATGTGGCCAAAGCACCAATGAAACTACTTCTGCAGGTGCATTTTCAAACACATATCACAATACAAAAGCGACTGATCACCGTTATTTGGAAAATGGACCCAAATGTCATAATTACATCTAATGGCCAATTTAGTGGTCCCATTGCCTGTTGTCATGGTTTCAACTGTAATAATGCAAAAGGCATGAATCATACATTTAATGTATGAAGTGAAACTTGAATCCATTTAGACCATTTTTTGCCAAAATGGAACTTGAATAAATTGCAACTCCAATTGGTTTTGGGAGACTGCCTCCAATTTCTAGTCCAGAGGTGATGGGCTGTTTTCGTTCTGAGACAGCCTGTTTGCCTTGGACAGTTGAAGAGCACACCACAGGGCAGTCCGAATGCTGCGGGTTGCCTTTGCCAGCTTCTGAAGGACATCCACCAGGATATTTCCTACACAAATAAGCAAAGGTAGAGTCTCGTCTTTGTAACTGTAGCACTGACACGTGTTCCCTTGGCTTGTGACAAGTCTTGTTTCACGGTGTTGTTTAACTTTTCAGATGAATATTTAAAACAAATGGAATATTTACAACATTTAAACGGGAATTCTCAGAAAGCAAGACTACTTTATTCAGTCTGACAGTTGGAAATTTTTCAGTGTCCATGGGTTGAAAATATTTTTGTATGGAACTTACTTTATTACAAATTTTTATTTGGTGTGACCGCTAACAATTTGGATATGCTAGGAACGAAGTCATTTCTTAAATACTGAAGATTTTCAGGAAATTATTTATAACATTGCACGATTTGGAGCAATTCTTACAAGAAAGTGAAAAACCCTGTGCTTCGGATGCGATTCAGCTTAGAAATTGACAGACTTGGATTCTTCACACTTGTCCCAATGAAGCCTTTTTAAAAAAAATTTAAAATAAAGGTAAGCTGGAAAGGTACACAGTGATCAACTGAGGTTAGGGTCCAACCTCTTTGTTCTGGATGCTCTGTATTGCCATTTTGAGCACGTTGAAGCTCCTCCCTGCGCTTGAGCCACGCCTCCTGTATGGCCTCCACCCAGTTGTCCAGGCAGGCATCAATGCTCGGATGCAGTGCTTCAGCACAAAGCCCACCAATCTTGCTCATGAGTGTGTACACCTGCAGACGTTGACAGAAATCAGATACTTAACGAAAAAGGCAACTCCATTGCTCTAAAATACCTTTCCAAAATTTATAGCAAACTTTATAATAAATCAGTTATTCTATTAGGGACTACTTTGGAAATAAGTTGTAAAGCTTTCATCAGCTATCCCTGGTCATACTCAGTGTGATTTTTCTCTTTGTGGTTTTTATATAATTTTACTTGCACATCTTTTCCAAATGTAAATTTTTCCTTCGGTAATATGAAATAAAAACAACTGTGTTACATCTACAAAATATAATACACCTTTTTCCGGGCAGCATGTTAACTTAGCTCCACCTTGAAGGTGATAACATGAAAAACAGTTTTTAATTTTGATCGTAAGCATAAGATAATTATAGCCGAAGACTTGGCATTACCTGTATTTCACATTATTAACCTCAAATTGGTGTAAAATATCCTTTATCTAGATAGATTTTGAACCTTTCAATCAGGATTGGTCTTCAAAGGATCATGATTCAGAGGGCATATACAGTGCTGTGCTTACTCTGCTGTGTTCCTTGTAGAAGTCAACAATCATCCTATCCAGGCTGGTGGGGTTGTCTGGCAGCTGAGGGGTTTGTATGGTGTTGGCACTGGAAATTCGTCTTCCAGGATTTAGCCTTGAAAGCTCAATTTCAGTCTGGAAAACATAACAACATAAAGAAACTGGAGGAATTTTTTAATGGCAGTTTTCTAGAGATTTGCTTGGAAAGGTTAGGTTTTTTAGAGACACAGTCCCTCAGGCTATTATTAATCTGTTGTTTTTATGACATGAAGTATCTGGAGATATATTCTTTTCCCCAGGATGGCATATGACTCCTTGATCATGAATTGATCCACGGCTAACAGTGATGCCTGTGAACTTTCTATCTCCCCAGAGGAGAGAGCTGGCAAATGGAATTAAACGTATTGTCCAAGGATGCAGCAAACTCAGCTCCATTTTTAGGCTCGAGGCTTCCATCGAAGACAATGCTTTGAGGTATCCATTTTTTTTCAGCCCAACAAGAAACTAGCAAACAAGCAAAAAACCTCTTATGATTTGATTCAACTGACCTTCTTTCTTTCTTTTTCCACACTGTAGAACTGATAGTAGCAGGATTCCAGTTGAACATGCAACTGGCTCAAATAGTTTTGGTTGTCATTTTGAGGTGCGCGTTGCAACTGTGGCCAGGCAGCCACATTTTGGTGAGCCAACAGATTGTAAAGCTCTGACCTTGCAGAAAATTGCCCATTTTGGAATTGGCCATTCATGCCGAGATTTTGATTGGCTACTTGAATGGGTCCTTGTGGCAGCGGCATGCGTTGCAAAGAAAACTGGTAATTGAGTGGTCTGTTTTGTCCATAGATTGCATTTCTAGGTTTTGCATTTCCTTGAAACTGATTCTGGTCGAATGTTGTGCTGTTAGTTCGAAGGTTAGAATTCCCCTTTGTCATAAACTTGTTAAAGTCCGGCCAACTGTTCGCCACATTCCTCTGCATCGTTTGGGTCTTAAGATTCATGTTTGGTACAAGTGGGGCATTGACTGGTTGCTGTTGCTCGCTGAGTGGAAACGGCGGAGCTGGCCTAGTCTGTCTCGGAAACTGCTCCCTGGACTGTGCCTGTTGTGCTGTGGCACTGGCTCTCTGCCTGAAGTACTGGTGGGGATCTTCTGCAACTGGAGAACTCCTACGGCTCTGGGGGAGGAGGGCACAGCTTCTTTGGTACAAGCCACCTGGGGTCTGCGAGCTGTTATACTGACTCCCTGTGATTGGCATACCTCCATAGTCCCCTCCCGAACTTGGCAGGTTGTCTGGTGCAGGCCTGCGAGTAAAATATGGTACCTCAAGATGATCCCCTCTCATGAACTGGCTTGGTTGGACGTAACCCAGTACGTCTTTTGTACTGGTGGCACTCTGCTTTCCAACACCCATAGGCTGCTCATCAAGCACAGTGGATGATCCAATTCCCCCTTGTGAACTGCTTCTTTGGATGCCTGGGTACATCATGTCAAAAGAAGCTGGATGAGTGGGCCTCTCTGTGATTCCTGAACAAAACAAAATTGAAGAAAAGGACAATTCTTGTTTCTGAGATTTGAAGCTTTTCTTGGTGGAGGTTGCAAGTAAACTTGATAGGTTTACAGTGACACCATGGATATCTCTTTTCTGAGCAAGTAAAGTTCTGAAAAGAAATGGTGGAGACTGACATGCCTCACTGGATTGCCAGCACCCCATTGCCCTCAGTTGGATCCTGAGTTAGCATCCTCTCCACACCTCACTGCCCTCTACACACTATATAAGCTGCTTCACCGGTGCCCTGTGCAGTCTCCTGACAACGGACAGGGCATACTGTTCAAAATGTTGAGTACCACCCATTCTTTTCAGAATCCCACATGCTCAAAAGAGATATATCCATGGTGCTACTGCAAACCTATCAAGTTTAAGTCTTGTATCTGTTATTTACATGTATGATGTCTCTTTAATCTGTTGATCTGCTCTCTTACAAGACAGTTACAACTTTGGCAATTCACCTACAGCCAAGACTTACAACACTCATGCAATGTTAGTCTACGGACTAAGTTTAAGTGGATCGTAACCATACAGTTCCTTCTGACAGCTCTGAGCAGATACTCTGCACTGACCCCTTCACTCATTTAGTTCTACCATGGTGACCTCTTCCAACATATGGAAGAAATAAAAACTACCTAAAAGTTATTGTAGTCCATGACTAATACAAATGTCTGTTCTAGACACTCACACCATTTAGGAATACCCAAGTTAGTTTGTGATCTTCATTTCGGTTAAGGATTTTGAGTACACAAACCAGTTCAGTTCAAGATCTGCCAGGTTTGACAATTTTGACAACTCACACAAGGATACTGGGGGAACTTTAACCTCATCTTCAAACTCCAGTTTTCATGTACTACGAGGAGGATAATAAACAGAATTTACAAACATTTGGACCTTTACAGCACTAAAGTACCTGACACAGACAACTATTTTTTGGAGGGTAATTTTGTAACTTATGCAGGTAAAGAGCTGGTCAAATAAGTTGGTGCTCTCTGTACTCTGCATGAAATGATTATTTATCCTGAAGATGGAAATGTCAAATCTTGAGGCATAGCTACACTCTGACGACCAAACTGGCTTCACACTCACTGTCCGCCATGACTCACCAGGAGGCAGCTTGAGATGACCTGTATTTTCATGGATCATTTCATTGCTTTTAGCCCAGGCAGGAGCATTATCAGCTACAGATGTCACATGCAGAGCTTGAAAGCTTTTTAAAAAGATGAAGTACTTCGTTAGCTTACATTTTAAAATGGTAACATCAAAAGTATTCTTCACTGAATATTCCCTTAGTCATATTTATATACCTTAAATATTCACAAATATAGATTTTAATCCTTGAAATCTGGGCTTGGGCAACTGAGTTTATGCAGTGGAATTAAGTTCCATAGTAACAAAACAAAATAAAGAACTCAAACTCTCAAAATACTCCAAATTAACTTAAAACAGGCTTTAAATTAACATCCAGTTGATAGTTTTCTACAAATCATGTATTAGCCAATGTTTAATGAATGATAGAATGTAGATATGAAAAAAGACTATTAATTTTTTAAGACAGTGTATTTTAGGAATGTTATTCTGTGTATATACTGTAATTAATACAGTAATATAATAATTTCTGTTGCATTCATTGCTCCTTTGTAAAGTTTTGAAAGCTCCTTTCACAATATCTAACAATAACCCACACTGACCCTCTAATCTTGAAACTGAGGATTTTTGCATATTGGTAAACATGTAGTGTGACTCACTTGTCCTGGATGGCCTCACCAGGAGGTTGGTTCTCGTGTCCATTGAGAGCACTCACTTCTGGTCCTTTATTGGACGGGCCCTCATCCAAGATCTGGCACACAAGCTCATCAAGCAAACCGGATCTGTCAAGCAAATTTTCCACAGCAGGTTCACCCAGGTCCCCCTGGTAATCCATTTGCACTTGGCTGTTGCCATGGTGGATGCCATGTGCATGCTGTGGGATCCAATAATGGCCCTGACTGTCCTGACCCTGTTCCTGGAAATGAAATAAATAATGCATGGGAGATAAAAAGCACAAAAACTGTGACACTAACACTAAAATGACCCACAAGGGCAAGGCTTACAACCAGCACGTTGTTTTAAGTTGCAAATGAAAATAGAGAACCACACTGTAAAACTGAAATTGGGTGCTGGGTCAGAAAAAAGCCTGAATATTGAAAAATCGTGGTTTAACAGACAAGCTGATTATTAATTACAGCCACATGTCTTTTACCCAATTTCTTCAGTTATTTCTATATATTTTTATCAGTCTTCAGCCTATCACCAAGGGGGTCCAGGGGGGCTAAGCCCCCCTGGCGAGCAGCTGCTCCCATTTCAATATAAAGCATCAAAATTATCTATTGTTCCTCTGAAGTGCCCCTCTTGCCGGTACTGTGATCCACCTAATGCCCAAAACTGGTGACAAAATGACTTGCTACTTGACTTGGAAAACTGAGTTTGTGAATCGACTTTTAGAAAATACTTGGCACTTAACTTGCAGTTTTTCTACAGACACACCATGGGACATAGACCCAAGTCTATTTTAGGCCTAGGTCTGATTCCAGACAAGAAATTTGCGAAAAAAATTTCTGCTACCTCTGTCTGGTGAAAATGTGGGGGAAACTGGGGTCCCCAAGTATACAATCCCCAGTCATGCCAGTAGAGAGTTATCGGTAGCATGGCCATAGCGTGCAGAAAAAAAGACAATTTTAATCACAATTAAACTGTGTTAGAAAATGAACAGCGCCCTCACTCATTTATTAGCCTATGCATGTCCCCGCCTTAGACTAAGTCGTACAAACGGCATCGAAGATTAGGAACAATGCAAAGTTAGGGCCTAGGCCTAAGTAGGAGTGGCCATCTAACGTTAGGGGAGCCCAAAATTAATTCAGGCCTAATTCAATCGGCCTCAGGTGTCTAGCCTAGGCCCTACCTTGACCCTGTTGACACGGTCGATAAAAATTGTACATGACGCCAGTACCCATGCACACGATCGATCCAAAAATTCCCAGTTCTTCATCCCACAAAAAACCTGACTTCGTTAGCCTACACGACACTTTAACGTTAAGCCAAGCCTACTTGTCTCAGCTACGCTCATCGACATGATCAACGCCCCAGACGCCTGTGTCTGTGCTTCGCGCGCGCCCCGAGCCAAAACTTCAATTTCTTTGGACTAGGCCTACTATAAATTCTCCAAGATAGAACTTCACAGGAGTTGCAGCACATTATTACGTTGCGCAGTTACTTACCATAGGGTTGTTTTTATAACTTTCTGACTTCTTCAAAAGCGTGAAAATGGATGACAACTCCCCTAAAATGTTCGTTCAGCGCAGACTTTTTCAAACTCTGAAGCTTGTGAGCCTACTTTGTCATTGCGCACGCGCGGGCTGTGCGTTTGTTATTCCTGCACGATGTAATTTGACAAAAATCAAGTCAAGACAATTAATGTGAGATTTAAAAAACTGAGTGTAACATTTCATAACATCCTCAAACATTTATTGAAAGTGGCAGTATCAACTTCTCATACTAAATCACTATAGGTGAACAGAAATTTCTCTAAATCTAGAACAGTTGTGGGGAGTAAGTGTGGAATAATAAGGCAACCAAAATACAGACGTACTTTGCAATTAATTTTAATTTTCGCAAATATTCCTCCTCCTAACAACCAGAAGATATAGCATATCGAGAACTATCTTTAATTTAATTTACACATTGAGAGCTCAGAAGTAGCTTTATTTTGTAGTTTCTTTTATAGGGCCTAAGCTACGCTCCACTCAAGTGAACATAAATAAACGTCTCTGCGGTTTTTATTTCTCAAGCAGAGGGAGTAAGCGAGAGAAATTCAAGCAACCTAAATACAAACCATCCAGGTTCGCGCCTACTCTGTTGTGATTGGTTAATAGTTTGGTAGTCTTCGTAACAGCCGTTAGTCTTTCATCGTAATTTATATCGCATGATGGCGCCCTATCTCACAGTTCTGCTGCTTAATACACCATCACTTACTATCTCTACGGCAAACAGACATATTTGTGGGCAACTTCGATCATGGACCACTAGTTTCATGACGTACCAAGCCCATGTGCAGTGATGTTGAAGTGCGAACAACCTTCCCCTGCGTCAACTTTTGTCAGTCATTAGGCCAAAGGGACAAAAGGGGGCCGCAGAAAGGGCAAATTGGAAAAAATAAGTCATTATCTAGTGACATCATACTGTTTTTTCCAACATTTTTCTGAACTGGTCCTCTCTGCATTCTGCTATTACGCAATCAACGATGCGACCAACCTCAATAGGCTATGCATGCAAGTTTGGGTACTGACTATAGTTCAACCACTAGTCGGTTGCTTTTTAAAACCTTAACCATCCTCAATCCTCCAAAATCCTCCGGGTGATTTTGAAGGATTGAGGCTGCATGGCAAATTGAATTACTGATTGTGAAGGATGATTTGTCTCAAGGTTGTAGGTTAGACCTTGCGTTGTTTATGCATTAATTCATGCCCACATTATATGTGAAATCTTCCATACTGCTCCAAGATACCATTCACACTGCCTCAACACAATGTGAGGAATTGCCACAGGATTTTGAAGGACTGAGGCAGTGGGAACCCCTCCAAAGAACATATTCAAGAAACATCAGAGGATGTTGGAGGACTGAGACCATATTCAATGTTTTTTACAAGGGCAGTGAGAGGATTTCGAAGGATTGAGGGTGTATCCTAGCCAAGAGGGCCTAGACAGTTAGGGTTAACTATGAGCATACATGATTCATTGACGCTCGAACGACCTTAGTCAATTTTCTAAAATCTCATGAATCGTAACTCACATTTCACAGTTGGCTGCGATTCTCGCAGCATACTTGGTCAATGAAATCTTATACAATTATTTTCATGTGAATCATTCGGGTGGCGTTAGTCAAACTACAACTGTAATCATCGCATAAACTTGCCCTAGGCTGGTCGTAAAAAGTTGACTAGGCTAGTCCAACCATCATCGACTTTCCTACGTTCCATCAGAGTCAGTCAAACTATGGTTAAATATGGTCTGTGATCATATGCGTCTGCCATATGCCCCAAGTGTTCATGTCTGTGCATGAACGGCACAGGTAATACAAAACGCAAGTGGGTTTTTTTTGTATGTCTGTGGTGAATATACAGACCACAAGCACAGTTGAGGCCCTGTGTTGCTTAAAAACATTCTACAAGCACAGGATAAAGGCAGCGACAGAAGAAAATTAATGCTTTAGTGGTTACATGACAATGTCGTACAAACTTTGCTGTAGGACTCGGAGTGAAGAGTAAAAACGCTTGAGGGTAGATTATAAAACAGCATTAGAACAGCAATCCTGGTTAAATAATAACATACATGTATCTATTGAATAGCTAAGCAATAAACAAAATGAAGCGAGCTCACGCATGCATCAGATGCAGAATGTTGTTACAAACTGTTTTACCTCTGGATCATTTCGATTCTCAAGTCATAAATGTGAGACAAACATGCAAATAATGTTACTCATTTATGAAAAGTACATACAGATACTACCATCAAATAATACAGTAAACTTATTCCCAGGTAAAAGACTGGTTGGGAATTCATCCTAGTCTTATGTGTCCACCAATTCCAGAAGTTAACACGGATCACAGGCTACTATTACCATCATTGCAAAAGCTTAGGCCACCCATACAAAATGCATTAGCCTGAAGAAAAACCAAATTTAAAGCAATCACGGCAACTTATGTTTATTTTCAATGTGTAACCTCAGGATCTTGGTTCAAGAGCTATTTGACTACATTTCCATGAAATGTTAACAGTCCAATATTTAGTGTGCCCTCCTTTATTTCTGATCACTTAGACTGGCGTTTTTTACCCATGCTGCCTTACAGACAAAATGTCATGCAAGACCTGCCTTTGCAAAAAAAATTTCATTTAAATGGGTATATAGCACTACATTGATGTTATGCACCACTGTAAAAACATGTTAACTGAAGTAACCATTCAATGAGACAATGTAATGCAGATCCACCTACAAAAATACCACTAAAATTCCAGGTGGTCTTAAACTTTTGCAAATGACTGTAGATATTTCCAAAGACAGCGCACTGACACTGACAAACAGATGGGCAAATAAACAGGTACCTTATGTCATAAAAATGATGCAGGGAGCTAGACCTCCCATCTTGTTGATTATGCTCTTTTTCCATCCAAAGAGAATAATGGCATTAAATCAAAATTCACTGTTTTCTTTTCGAGTCTCTCATTTCTTCTTGGCTGCTTTACCCTTCTTGCCCTTTGGCTGCGGATTGCAGTACTTGGCCTCCAATCCAGCCATGAAATTGTCCATTTGCTGCTCTCGAGACTGCTGCCGCTGCTTGATCAGGGCCGTCAACGCATCGTCGCCATTTTCCTTTCCCAGACCTAGTTCTTTAGAGAGGCGTTCCGCCTCTTCAGCCTCCCGCTTGGCCTGTGAACAGCAGGACACATTAAAGAAAGCAATTCATCACTGCAAGACGAAAGACCGAAAGAGTGACTAACCGCGTGAGAGGCACGAAGAGTAGTGATTTAAAATGTTTCGACTTAATGACAGGGCAAACTTAATAGCTACAGCAGTCTGGGGAGATGTGTGATGATGAATACCATTTACTTAGACACTTACAAAATTGGCAAAACTTCAGGAACTTATTTCAAAATCAGGCTAAACAAAAAGGTCACTGCCTTTATGTCCTCCATTATCAGGGTATTCCCCTCAACATATGCAGTAAGTCCAAGTAACAACCCAAATTACCCAAAAGGGATATGCGAGTGATCTAATGTTCATGTTTTCCTATATTTCACTCTCGCCTATCCTAAAATGCCATTAATACTTCTAAAATGGTACTTCTCGTCGAAAAAAAAAATTACTTTTTTCCTTCGACTTGATTTCTGTTTCTTGCTCTCTTTCATGAATGCTTCATACTCTGGCAACTCTCCCCTGTTGATGAGATCGGTGAGGATTTCTGCAAAGCGAGGCTCGTCTTCGTGGGTACAGCACAGGACGTTTTCTAGGATTTGTTCCATGTCTCCTTCACACTCCAAGTACGAAGCCTTCAGATCCTCCAGTTCTTCAGAGGAACCTGTAAGTGACAAACAAAACAGCCCTTTGCTCCTTTCATTGTTGCTGTTTCACCCTAAAAGAGTTGGGGGTTGGGGATGGGTGGAATCTGGTCCCTTTTATTTTCTCCAGAATCATTAAAATGCCCTTGCATGCACCAGAAATGCTTAACCTTGAGAAGTCACGCCGATGCTTTGTAGTTATTTTGATGCCAATTTTATGAAAATCATCCGTACAGTTTCAAGAAATGTAAATGCCTGTATTTCTGAGACAGGTCAGAGTCTAAACTATAAATGGCTGGAACAAAAATCCTTTGTCAGATTCCAATGAAACTTCACAGATTTACCCTTAATAGATTTCTTTTTACGTGTGCCAAGTTTTAACCACTTTGTACCGGGCTGCTGGGACGGGCACTTTTTCTTTGTTTTCTGTTTTCAAAATTCTTCAAAAATTCATATATTCATTCACTACACGCGTACACCAAAAAGAACCTTCACTTCCTCACACTTTAACCCACACGAAGGACTGTCTGGTTTCTACTCTAATCTGACAGACCACATATATTAATGCTGGAGTATTTCAGCCCGGCCTGCTGCCTTATAAAAAGAGCCCACATTGTGTGGTGTTATGTAATTTTCTTTTGTAACAAACCTGACACAGTGTGCTGCTGACCTCTTTCCATTAGGGGCCAGATTAGCGTGCAGCGGTACTGTGTGGCTCATCACTGCGTTGGTGGAGCGGTTTTGTCCCCGGTGGTAAACCTCGTGCGCTAAATCCCAAAAACCATGGTATGGTGTTTAAAACCAAGGCTGGATTATCTCCACTATTGAGAGTGAAAAAAATGTTGGAAATGCCCAGCAGCCTGGTCTTTTGTTACGAGTACGGTCTTTTGTTACAAGGCCCAGTTCCCTTTGTCCGATTTCGGAGACCATGGCCACGCATATAAAGAATACAGTTCCGGTACCGGCAACCCCGGCAGCAAGTGGTTAAGTGTTTGTCTCACCTTGATACTTCTTTTCAAACTCCCGGATATCGTTGACAGAGACCTTCTTGAAGAGAATTCGCCAGTAGTCTGCCCAATCCTTGCACTTTTCGGTATCAATTTCATCATCCACTTCCCCTGATAAGATTAAATATGAATTTGAAATTCATAGAAGTTTGACCTTAAGGAATATGATTTAGGATCAGGTCAAATCCAGCTACTGGTCTTAAGTTGTGACCTTGGGCACGTCACATCACCCCTGCCTGCCACTCTGTAAATCTGTACTCCTTTACTTCATCAAATACGCATGAAATTCTCCACAAAGTCAGCTTATCGGCTGTGCAATGTACATATATGATCGTTTGATCTTCATTCACAAAGTCAAAATTGGTCTGTTAACAAAAGTGTCATGTCTTGTTAACAATCATGTCTCCCACGCTCTGGAAATATTGAAGATTTTCTTAAATAGCGAGTCAGTTTCTCGTTTTGCAGAGTTCTCTAGATACTGACGTCAAACTTTGGGGGAAAAAATGGCTTTGCACATCCTTCTGGGTTCACTTTCCCAATCCAAAAAACCTTTCCACCAGGCCGAGGGCGCTTAAGAATACCCCTACAAAATTCTTTCAAAAAGAGGTGTCTGTGTGAGCCAAGAAATTGTGGGATTGTGTCAGTATGGCCTAGGATCATCTCTGTAGATTCGGGGGCACCCATCTGGGAGCAAAGCAGACAAAAATGTGATTGAAAATTTGTCTGAAGAGCCTGAGAAAGGTGAGGGATGTCATTTGAAAAATGGCTGCTGAGAAGACTTGGGAACATTCACTTTTTGGAGGGCAAGTCTGTTTTGGGCAGGTAATTAAAAAATTAATTGGTTAACCTACTATAAATTGAAAATCAAATGACACATTGTTTTTTGTTTGAGAGGCCTCAGGGACTTCAGTTGCCTGCCATGGGGCTCCAAACTTTGTTGATTTTACACTGTTTTCAATGGAGCTTGAATGAGCGCAGTGCACCTTTCTAAGAAAGGTCTGCAGTCAATTTCACGCCACAAATTTATGCCATAGGGGCACAATATACTTACGATCGATTTCACGAAGTTTAATACTCTATTCAATAATATTACATTTTTCGGACGAGGGCAAAACCGGCTTTTACAACGGCTGTTCTTTCCAATATAACAACAGTCATCAAACGGTCGATGAATGACCTCCACTGATCATTTTGAAAAAAAGTTTGTTTTTTCTTCATCAGAACCGGACAGAAAATCTCGCAGTTCTTTCACAGCCAAACAAGTTTCTCATTACCTTCAATAACAAAGCTGTATGTTTCTTGTGTAAGCCATGTTAAGTTCAACAATGATGAGGCTTAACGGAACATGATAATCTAGTCAAATCATTCATTTTTGTTATGTTTGGCCTAACATGACTACCTAAGGTACGCTATAATTTGTTGCATAAGTCCTAGACTTATGCAGTGTGCAAGTTTCATGAAATCGGTCTTAATTTGTTACACAACTTACATAATAAACTGTAACGTTTATGCCACTGCGTAAAGTTTCGTGAAATCGGCTGCCGGTCTGTTTCTCACCTGTTTCATCATAGAGCGCTTTGAGATTTGTATCGCTCAGGACGCGGTAGATTCTACCAAGAGCCTGGAACTTCTTAGTTGCATCTTCCTTAGCATCGCTGCTAACTCGGTCTGGATGGACCTTCAATGACAACTTGTAGTATCCTCGTTTCACTGGGTGATGAAAAACATTTCTTGTAAAATTTGAAGATCTTTCATTACAATTGTAATTGCAGACTACATTTTTCAGAAGAAAATGTTGGTGATACTTTGTTTTTCCCCATGAATTTTCATTATTTTTGCCGAGACTGTAGAAGTGTTAACTCATTTCACTGTGATAAGTTTGTCAATTATCCGAACGAAAGACCGAATCTCATGATGAATAACATGTAAAGTAAAATTCAGTAAACACTCCCTCTGAATACAATGGTGCATACATGTGCATTAACCACTGCAGGCTGATTAAAGTGTTTTTAATCCTACCTCCAAAAAGTTGTAAAAATAAAACTCCCTCTTTAAAACTCTGCTTTTCTTTTGGTGATTTTCTTTTCATCATTTGTGGCTCTGGAGAATTTAAGAGCCAAGGTTAAGGATTATCAAGTTCAAAATTGCATTTGGTCTGAATCCCATCTTGTGAATACCAATTCCTGTGACAATGTATGGAACCAGACAAAGATTTGTTTTGGTAAAATTTCCAAGTCCAAAACAATCACTGTGCATGTTAAGCTGCCATGCAAGCACAAGAGTAAAAGAATATCAGGACCAGCTCAAAGTCTTATCTCCTGCCCTATTTTTTATGTTGCCGGCGACAAACAATATCACGTACATGTAATTAATACACATAGCATACCCGTAGGTCACTGTAGGGTAGTGGGTTCAAACCTGTAGTCCAGTCTCCCAAAAACTGTTGCAATATATCCTTCATTTTATAATCATATCCTTTATTTTATAGTCAAAGTGTACATTTTGTCACGTCACCAACTAGTCACACATTATTTTGTTTAAAGTGCCACCACTTAACTGATACTGTACAATTCCCTCACTGATCGAGAGGGAGCGCATGTCGTAGTGCTTACTAAGTTGGCCTTGAGAGCACACAATTACAGGACTGAATCCTGGCTGCGCCGTGCCAGTGAGTTACCAATTTTTCCACACTACCCAAAAAAGTCAAAGTATTTTCCTTGAATAGTTTAAATTATATTTCAAATTAAATTGCAGGATATGCCCTATTTCACTTTTCTTTTCATCTGTGGCTCTGGGAATTTTGAGTGGAAAAGTGGAAAGGACACTGGGTCTGATTTTTATCTTGTAAATTCAGAATAACAACTTAAAGCATGGAACGAGATAAGGGGAAGAGTTCCACATGCAGACAGCATGCACTTGACACCCTGTGCACGACCCTGTGAGATTGCTATTTTCTAAGCACTTGCTAAATAAAGTATTACTATTAGGCTTAAATATTTTCCCTGCTAAATCTGACTTATAAAGGCATGTTAGCACTTTCTGATGTACGAAATTTTGTTGCACAAATAGCTATAACGGCAGAATAAGTCAGCACTATCAAAAGAGCCAAAAGGTGTTTATGCATGTGACTGTGAGTTTATAAGCATAGCTATCTGGAGTTAGAGTTCTGGAAGTAGTCAAGTGGCGTCCGGCCGCATCCGTATGTGGAATTCTTTCGGTTTCTTTCTTCGCTCATACTTTCATGGTTTGAAATCCTGTAGGTCTACTTTTCAAGACAGAGGTTTCAATGGTTTCACGATACGCAGGTATTACGTATTTCTCTCCGCGTGGCACCGATTGGTCCGATTAGTACTAGTGTTGCAGTGTGCTGGGTAAGGGTGGCTGTTTACCTTCCTTGGAAGACGCACTTTTCCCAACAGCTAGAATTTCATAAAGATCTCGTGTACCAAACAGCTCCTCGCAACTGTCAAGTAAGGCAGGCATTCTGGAAATGTGGCCCTACAGCTCAACAAACAGGTGACGGTAAATAACACACAAACATACATGTGCATACACCGGCTAGGGGCTCTCGTCAGGACGTGCAAAGCAGAATGATTTCGTCCAGTGGTACATGGTACGTACGGTGCGGCGCGCCACTTAAATTCTATGGCGCGCTTTGTGGAATATTCCACATGTACATGTGCCATGTGGAGGGGCTTTTATACTGCAAGGACTTCTAACACTCAAGAACTTGTCACAAATTGCTATTTGGTAAATCATTCTTTTAAAAAGTCAATAAATGATATTGTTTTACTTTTTTATTTGAATACCTGTGCATGTTTCCATTTAACAACTGGAAAATATTATCTCAAACCCTATAAAATATTGAAATCTCTCTTGGCCTTCAACCTTTAGTATGGTTACCGGTTACGTACCGAGATTGAGCATTGTATACAGTATGTAAAGAGCTGGGTTTCCGACGATATGGTACATATTATATCATACATGTAAACCAAGCTGCGATTCTAGTCATGTGAGTGCAAACGCGAGCACTAATCGGTCACGATAGGGACTGTGTGTGTCTCTGTGTTTTTACACAAACCCGCATTTTTATTTTTTATCTGCTAGAAAAGAAGGTCACCGACCACACAATTTTCCGGTAAGACAGCAAACTTACTCCAAATGCATAAAGCTTTTACCTCTCAAGTAGAGCATTTATGCTTTGACTGTTACTAATGTGACGTGCCTGGACGTGGCAATCGCAGGAAATAGAATTTCAGTTCAGGTTCAACCACCTGACCACTTCAACAGGAACCTCCATGCATCAACTAATAAGTTAAAAGCGCTAGCGCTCAGTGTTAAAGACCCCTAGTTCCCCCATCGTCCGCCATGTCCATGGAGGCAGGACTCGGCAACATCTTTGAAAAAGTGTGCATTTTAACAGTGACAACTTTTGAAATACATCTTTTCGAGTTTACAAATTAAATATGATTATTTTGCGTACATGATGATGTCAATCAATTTAGCCTATCAGTAGCACTGATTAGGCCAAGCTTTGAAGCCAAGCTTAATTATTTTAGATGAGCCAACTGCCGTGACTGTCCTGACTGTAGCCCTGTCCATAATGTGGCCCAGCTTTGTTTTCCATGATTTGCTGTATGCTATGCTCTGCCTAATCTTTGCACCAATCCGTTATAAATCCACCATGTAAATAGATCAGTGCTACAGTTATTCTCTATAAGTTAATGTTTGCCAGGCTAAATATTGACTTACATTTATGCAAATGCATGTTTTTTTGTGCAAGGTAGCCTTGATCTGATGATAGCAAGGGTGTGTTTGAGTATGCAGTTCAGATAGTGATACCTGGTCCTGTATTGAGTTTTCATTGGGAAGATAGACTTGGGAAGGTTTGAGTTGGAATACCGTCTAAGGGACTGTTTTCGTACTTCCATGGTGTGAGTTTGCTTTTCCTAGATTTGTACTTTTGCCATCATAGATTGAAGGCTGAAGCAAATTGAAGTTGTTGAGCAGTTGCTTTTCGCAGACACTGTTTTTTGTTAATTAAAAGCTGTCCGTATGTAAATTATGTAAAGTATTTAATCCAAGAAAAGACGATACTGTTGTATCCTGCAGGCACAGCAGAGCAGGTATCACTTGCTCACCATCTGACCATGCTCGCTGTCTTAGCAAGTCCAGTTAACAGCCAACAGGCCTATCCGGAGTTCAGATCTTCAAATTTCAGCTAGACACATCCATGCTCTTTATTGTTTAATAAATGACATTCATTTTCCACAAAGGATGTGTAGAGTATTGATTTAAGTGCATTCTTTCATGCATACACGTACCTTGCAGTTGACAAATTATTTTCATGCGCATTCAGAGAGTCACTTTACTTGAAATCCATCAGCTTCATATGAAATATTGTTCAGCGCAATCGAATGATCACTGCCCGACGGTTCTGAAACTGTTCAGCCCAATCTTGAATCTGGCTCACATATACGGTACTCCCTCCTGAGTTGATTAACCTACGAATGGAGTTCGTAGCAAATCAACTCTGGATGATGGAATACAATCAATTTGCACAAGATTCAAGATTTGCACTGAACAGTGCCGTCTGTCAATAGTTCCACAGTCAAAATCAGCGAACCACTTTTTTCCTGTAATTCATACCGATAGTTGAGGAAGATACATGTACAGTATATGCTTTTGAGAAGGGAAAGAAAAGTCCAAGTTTTCCTCCAGGATTGATAAAAAGCACAGAACTGGAATGATGTGAATTTGGCTCAGGATTGGACACTCTATCTACTGACCAAATTATACATGAGTGTCATAGTAACAGACATTTTGTGTTCTTTCTCCAGCTATGAGTTACAACAGTATGTCTGGAGATGAGGAGTTCGGGGGAAACGACTTCGAGTTTGCCGACAGGGATGTCAGGCTTGGTTAGTTAATGTGGATGTTTGTACATCTGCGTTCTTTTTTTATAAAAAAAAAATCGGATACTGTAACTGCCTTTTTTAACATAAGCAGGAGGCAGTTCTTTTGCGTCAATGAGTTGTAATGACTTGTGTCAAAGACTCAAGTCCAACTTAAGTCCCAATTTTTGGCAACCTGACTCGAGTCCTGATAGGTAAAAGACTCGACTCAACTCACTGCAAGCAAATGACTCAACCCCAATCCCTCATCGGAAGACCTGACTGGTTAATGGTGATGTCTTTGTTTTATTGTATATTTGGGTACATCTAGGATTTATCAGGAAGGTGTACGGCATTCTCACAGCACAGTTGGTGGTTACCGTAGCGATCATAATCCCATTTGCCATTGTGTAAGTACACATATCATATTCTTGCTACTCAATAATTGCTTTAATTGCACGTCTGTTACAGTATCCCCTACACCATCCACAAATGACGGGTGTCTATTTAATGTAGCTTGTTTTGTTGAACTAATTTTTAATTTGCTGAACAATATAATCAATCTTTCCCACACCTTGAATAGTGTTTTCCTACCAGTAGTTGTTGTGAAACACTTGAGACCTCTCATCAGTTGATGATTAGACCCTTTTAAGATGGCTTTGAACTTTCCACATACGGCCTAACACTTCAGAATAGCAAAGATACCTGTGTCTTAACATGTGCACTGGTTGGTGAAAATTGAATTCTGTTCATTTCGAGATGGTTGTTCAAGGAATGTTGGTATTGCACACTTTTTATTTTTTTTAAATAACATTGTCACTGAGTGCAGTATTCCTTTGCAAATGTGAAATGCTGGTGTCTGTGCATCAATCAGATTCTTTACAGTGTATTCAAAGAAGGTAAACATGAAAGGGCTTCGAGCACCATGATCAGAATATTGACAAGAATACAATATCAAATCAGTGCTCTGAAATACATGGTTGCCGAGCTTTCGGTCACTGAGTACCTTCTTCAGGGCAAGCAGGTTCTGTTCTGCTTGCCCTGAAGAAGGTACTCGGTGACCGAAAGCTCGGCAATCATGTATTTCAGAGCACTGAATTGATATTGTATTCTTGTCGATATTCAGAGAAGGTATTGTCTTCATAAAACCGGTACTTGTCTCAACGTATTTAATCATTTTCAATTTTGTCATTGTCCTTTTTTTCAGTGACTCAGTGAAAGTGTATGTACTCCAAAACTCATGGCCATTTTGGACTGCATTGTAAGTGCACTCTCCTGGAGTAAAAATCTCTGAAAAGGGCTTTTCTGGCTGTTGATTCAAGTGGTTCAACAGGAATTCAGGAATTCCAATACATGACATTATCAGGGTGCCTGTTCTCAAAATAATTGGGGTTTTGCCAAAGTTGGTGGCAACAGTGGATTTACTCAAAGCTACTCTAGTCATGCCCAGTGCCGTAGGCAGCTTTTCCACTAATCTATGTATTTCTGCTGTTTGAGAAAAAGTTGTCAAAACACAAACAGTACATAAATGAACAAAAAAATACGAGCCAATAACTACAATGCGGAATATTTTGTTGCTGTCAATCCACAGTGCTGTGACATTTGTGCTAATCATCGCATTGTCATGCTGCGCAGACCTTCGTAGGAGTTTCCCTGCCAACTTCATTGCTCTTTTCTTGTTTGTAAGTAGTAATCCTTGGGCAGTTTCAACTTATTACTTTGTACCTTGAAATGAGCAAATAGTCACCTTCTCAAGACCTGCTTGAGTGGCAAAATCTGAGTGTTATTCATATGCAAATTGACTAGATGACTACATTGGCAGGCTATTTTGTTTTAAGTCAGTACCAGAAACATTTTGTTGTGTGGGTGTGATGTTTTCAACTGTAAATATGGACATCTTCTACTCTCCACACTTCTTGCTGCTAGTGATTAAAACAAAACAATACTGAAAGTGCTTTTTAGAATGAAATAATAAAACAATTTCATGGAAGATCTGCAACCTGCAATATGTCTGCACTTAAATTTGTTTAAACTTCAAAATGTAATCGAGAAATCACAGGATGAATTCCTGCTCTTGTAACTTCTTTTTTTGTGGACTGCAAATGAAATCAGAATATGTGGTAAAAAAATTCAAAAGTAGGCACACTGAATAGCCAACACAATTAGGAGTTGGCTTTGAAAAGTTGGGGAAATTTGGGGACTTTTTTTTAAATTACAGAACGTCTGAATACAATAGTGTATAATGTCATCGAGAGTCTAGTGTTTTTTGTAGAAAATGCAAACTTCTAGGAGTCAGTGGCAACATTGTTAACAGTATTTGGTCTTGGTTTTGGTTACTTCAATAGACAATTTGTGAGGGAGTCCTTCTTGGCCTGGCTTGCAGTACATATGACACAACCACTGTGCTTATTGCTGCTGGCATCACTGGAGTAAGTGACTGACAAACACGGACTCAAAATGGTAGTGTCCAGTCCATTTTAAAATGTCCCCCGAGTGTGTCCATGCACATATCACTAAGTCCTGTATAAATGTGCGACTGGGAAGTCACAAAACAAACAAAACTACATGTAAGTGCGCCACATTAGTTTTCCCTTTATCATCAAAGGGGCAAGTGCGCCATTTGAAGAAAGTCAGTTTTCTTTTAAAGTTTTTTTGATGATTTGTGTTTAAAAAACAAGCCACATCTTCCTTAGCGATCACTGTTCACCACCTCCCAGGTTGCATCGTGTCGTTGGGCCTTGATCCCGGGCTGTGTGGTTCTTCAGGTTTTATGGTGTGTGGCTGACTAGCATCTCTGAACAAAGATATTAGCAAATTGGAAGGGCTTCAAATGTAGGGCTTGATAGCTCAGTCGGTAGAGCACCGGTACAGTATTTCGGATGTCGCAGGTTCAAATCCCGCTCCAGTCAATTTCTCTGTTTATAGTTTGTTTGATGATTTGTGTTAAAAGAAAGAGAGTGAAATGAGCTGAGTCAAGAAACATTTCAAGTTTGAACTCATTTTAACTAGTTGTCCCTAGGAAAACAAGTAGCACCTAATCTTTAGTACCAAATCGTTAATACCTTATCAATCATTAGCACCTAATGTTTCTGTGACTTTATACATTGTTGAGCAAATGGATGATGCTTGTATATGAATACATCAGGTGTTATGAAGGCTGTTGGATGTAACAATGGAAATCTGACATACATGTACATGTATTTGATTAAAGGATTATTGTTGTTTTTTATTTGAGTGAGAAACCTTACACTGCCTTCCTTATATTTCATAGATTTTGGTACTGGCACTGACGATCTTTGCGTTTCAAACCAGGGTAAGCTTTTTATGGATATCAAAACCTGTATCACCCTGACAGGTTTTGGGTGTTTAACTAGGTTTTTCTGAAGTTAATTTCCAAGAAACCAAAATGGAATAAGGAGTAAGCTGACGTGCCATTTTACGTGCTCTATTTTCGCGCAGATTGACTTTACCATGATGTCTGGAATGCTTTTTGTGGCCTTGATCACACTTCTTCTCTTTGGAATATTTGCCGCCATATTCCATAACAGAGTGAGTAGAAGAAAGCTTTCCTTCCAATCCAAATATGTTCATTATCATGATTTATAAAGTATATGTTTAACGGTCTAAAGCCATGATCGCACTGGACTTTTTTTGGTCGAACTTACCGTGACAATGGTTATTTGTTCCTGGTGCAAAGATTAAAGACCTAAAGAATATTCTGCATGCAACTCATTAAATGTTTAAGAATTTTATTTTGACTTCACTGAAGTTGTTGACGTGTGATTGTGTTTTGTTTTCTCAGTGTCACTCAGTTCATAATAATTGAAGTTAATTCCTCTACTTCACATTAATTGCCTCCTTCCAGGTCTTGGACATTGTGTATGCCTCAATTGGTGCTGTTATATTTGGACTGGTAAGAGAATTTCATTGAAACAGATTGCTTCAGGACACAGATTAAAATCTCTTCTGAAACGTGCCTATGCCGTGATTTTCGGAATGTAAGCTGTGGTTTTTACGTTGATTCTAATGCAGAAAAATGTCTCTGCGGCTTATACTCTGGGCGACTTTTACGGCAACCTTTGAATGATAAAAATCAGTCACAAAAACTGAGTATACCGCGTGCAGGTAGTGCAGTCATATTTTCGTTGGTTACTGTTTACATCCAATAACTCGAACCTCAGGGAATAAAAAAAATTCAAGTTGTTTAGATTTTGAGTTATACAAAAGTCCCTGAGTCAAGGAGTCATGACACACACATGTACATAATCACAACAAATTTTATTTGATCTGCTGTGACAGCATGTGATTATTTTCCCGCTTTTTATTCATTCTCATGGTGTGTTTTATAAGCACAAATAATCATTTTATGAAGTTCTTTTTTACCGTTGTTACCTAAAGGTTTCTTTTCAAATAGGAAATAACACTTAAATGGTGGTTCTTCAGGTGGCAAATTTTTTGTCTTTTTGCCGATCGTGTTCACCGTGACATGCCACACTGAACTTAGGGTTTATTTTCACTTGGGTTTTCCAATAACATCACTTTCCGTGGTCACGTAGTAATCAGAAAGAGTCAGTGATTGGACTGTCTGCAAATGGGTCTGCGGTAGCAGTCAGGCTAGCTGAAGGTGGTATTTGTCGTGGTCGGGGTGCAGTGCATGCGCTGTGCAACGTGCATGCACATAACGAGTTACGTAATGAGTTACGGGGGTATTTTCGTACGTAAAAGTCTTTTCTTTAGGCAAGAATAAGTTGGCCTAAAAAATGGACTTTCGACTTAACCGACTTCCAGTTATCAAGATTTTAATGCGCATCCCCGTCCGCATAACTTGCGCTGCCCACGCACCCAGGACAATCATCCAGCCTGCCAAAAATTGGTAATTTTCGAGGGCTTAAATTTATGTGTAATAGTAGCACTCCTTCATACTCTACACTTTTTAGGATTGCACATATAGTGGAACCATTGATGTGCCACGGCTTTTACACCGGGCGGCTTATAGTCCTAAAATTACTATAAATATATTTGACATTAAATTCAGTACTTCTTTTTTGCATCTTTCTGTTGGAATTACCTTCTTGTTCATACATAGTCATGTTCATTCTTCCTTCCTCCTTTTGTTTTATTAAACTGATGAGCCATGTCCAAATCAACTGGCTGTGGCTTAGAGTGTCACACATGTCTGTTTGAAGTGGCTGTAGCCACTAGAGCTTGTGGCTTCTAACAGTGCATGTGTCAATTCTTGCCATAGCCATTCAGATACAACCTTAAATTTTCCTGTCTGGGGTTTCCTCCATTAGATTCTTCTCAGTAAGGGCTCTTTAAAAAAAAAGGTAGTGTTACAGATTTTTCATCTTTGTCAGCCAAGAAGTTCACTTTGTTCAGGATATGAAAATACGTAGGCACAACTGGTTTAGGAGGTCATCATTCCCTCCGTCAGAAAAAGGAAAACTTTCCGTATTTTGTGCACCCTTTTCAAAGGGAAAACATGGAAAGAGAACAGGAAAGGCAAAGTGCCTCACATTTTGCATATAAGGAGACAAATTCAGATTTAAACGGGAAACAAATGTTGAAAATATTTAGATGTTCTTTCTCGGCTCTGTCTCTTTGTTAGCATAACCAGACAGTGGATATAAGAACATCTGAACTTGTCATCATGCCTTGGTTTTTTTCTTTTTCATTGTGTTCCCAGTTCATCGTTTTTGACACCCAATTGCTCCTCGGAGGCAAACACAAATACAGCATCTCCCAAGAGGAATACATCTTTGCTGCTCTTAACCTCTATGTCGATATCGTCCAGCTGTTCTTGATGATACTGACACTCGTCAACAGTTCTCGATAGTTGGACCGTCAGACCATGGAGGCTGTAAAGCTTTGAACAGAAATGCCCGGCCAAAGGAAAGTGGCACAATTAATGTAGGATGGAAAATTAAGAAAATTAGCTTGCAGTCTTCTCTGGTTGTCCTTAATGTAGGCATACAACTTTTTCAAAAGATCAGCTGACTTCCTTGTTTCTTACATTTTGTGCATACCATAACTAATTGAGAATAAAAAGAAAAGACAGCACAGTAATGGTTCTTGTTATGCTCTATATTTATTCAGTGAGAGATGTTGAAGTTGTTGGACAAATGAGGCAAGAGATAGGTAAGGTGTAGTAGATGAGTGCTACAACAAATCTTGGACCCAAGAAATTAGGGATTGAGGCACTCTTGCTTCCTTTGTTCTATGGCATTGGTCTTGGCATTTACCATTCTTGCCGCTTCTGTTTGCGATGCATCCGGTCAGTAACCATTGGTTTCTAGGTGTTGGTTATATCTACATTGGGCCAGGCAACTGGTGGCATATGCCCTGGTGTGGGGTCCGCGGAGCAGAACAGGGAATTTTTTCTGGAAAAGATTGTGCAAATTGTATTCATCAATTTAAGCAATCCCCCCCCCCGCAAAGTGATAGTGTCATTTCAAAAGCGTTCTCCCTTTCGGTTCCAAAAAGTAAAGAAGTGGCAATGTGTCTGCAAGGCGGGCAAACACCAACCGCCCCCCCCCCCCGAATGAGTTAACTCTTAATTTTGCACCCTCTAATGGTTTATGAAAGAACTGAATTATCCAAATGGACTGATTGTTTTTTTGGATTGAGGATTTATTCCGTGGTTGTGATAGCGATGCAAATTGCATGTATCGGTGGCGAACCCACTGAACCCAGGTTTTGTTGGGGGGGTGGCTACAAGTGGAATTTACCCCGGCAAAAAAGCTCACGATGCTTAAGCCCAAAAAGCTATATCAAAGGTTTAGTAGTTTAACCCCTTACATGTATGGTGTATGTAAAATCATATTGAAATCTGAGGATTTGGGACTGTTAGGGATAGATGCAGGTGTATATGTTTTATGTCCATTTCACAGAAAGTAAAGAAACTGAAAATCTCGTGGGGGGGATTGGGCTGGATCCCTCCCGCCCCCTCCAGCCCCCTCCCCCTCTTGGGTGCCTCCCGCCCCCTCCAGCCCCCTCCCCCTATTGGGTGCCTCCCGCCCCCTCCAGCCCCCTCCCCCTATTGGGTGCACCACTGGTATGTGTACATTTACAGCATATTGCAAGCCTATTGTTCCTAGCTTTAGTTCCTTGTCGAGTATTGGAGATATATATATACTGTAATTTGAAATTATTGTATGCATGAGAAATTATTCATGAAGCAGTCCTGATTTCAGAATTTCCGTCATAACTGAAAAAGGAGGAAACAAAAGACAGGCAGTAACAGAAGTGTGTGATTTTGTGCTAATTATTCCATGTCAAATGCAGTTTCCAGTTGTTGCCTTGATTGTAAAGAATCATCAACTCATTAATGTTTACTTGCATGAATTACGTGTTGACTTTTGGACTTTTCTAAATGCAAGCTATACGTACTGGTACTGCAGGTGTAGTTCTTATCATTCAGATTTTGTTTCATGTCATTTATTTTGGTTTAGTCTCCGTTTTCTTTCATTTTACATTATTGTTTATCAATTTTTCATGATATTGTAGCAAAGATAAATTTGGAAAATGTATGAATGATATATTTAAAGCAATTTAAAAGAAAATTACGCATCATCAACGACTTCATGTTCTGACACAAATGTCCAGGTTTGGCACATTTTCACAAATTGACAGGAAATAGGATGCGCTTCAAATGCTAACATGTTGTTTTAAGTTTTGGGTTTCACAAAGTAACACATTATGTTTTCAGATAATTATACGATTCAGAGAAATATATATATATACATGTATATAATGTTTGGCAAGAATTATCCATACGTATACTTGTGGAATATAAAATCTAGTAGCATTTAATTTCATTCTTACTTGAGAAATTAACGAAGGTTTTATTCTGTGAAAACAAACTTGTCCTGAGACTTCATCAAAACCTAAAGGAACTGTACATTCTCCATGTAAGGCGCAGACACAAATATGTGTGTTTGTCAAAACAAATATCACAGGAACTGTAAATTCTCATCTCAATGTATACACTAAAGTATCACTTTGCATCAGTTTGTGATGACAGTAACGATATCCGTCCCGTTATATGCAAAAATATGTATATGCTAAACTTGTGGAAAATTTTGCATTAATCATGCTAACAGCAAGTCACAGGTTACCAAAGAGCACTGGCTGTACGAAAGATACTAGAGATTCTTACATGATCATGCATATGTAGAAAATGCACTGGGCTTAGCCCTAGCTAGGTCATAGGCATGGCATGTTGACGTAATCTTGTACCTGTTCTTTCCTGTAGTTAAGAAAAACAAATCAGCAAAACTACTCATTCCCCCCTTCCATTAACAATCTCTTGAGCTGGGATTTTGCTGCCAGTTTTCTTGACTGTTTCTCTTTATTATGCTACAATAGCCCTACCCCTAATTACCTCCAAAACTGTTTCACTGAGAGGAGAAGACATTGTGTGGACTTGGCTTAGTCCGCACAAACTTTCACAAAACCTGCACTGTTTTATTCTCAGAGCCACACAGGGCATGTCAAACTCAGAATTAAAATTTACACCACAGGACACAATTACGTGCTCAGCATAGCTGTGAAATTCTTTAGATATTACACATTGTATGTACACTGCATATATTTACTTTTTTCTGAGTTTGCATACATGTAAAGTTGCAATATTGATAGATTTGCCATTATACCCTTTTCATCACAAGGCTTATTACTGTGTGCTATTACAGGCAGTATTCTCACATGAAACCAGTATCTGGAAGACACAATTTAGTCTGCATGGTTGTTTGTTCACAGTATTTGTGTGCTCAAGGTGTTTGTTATAGGCTTGTAGGGAAAGATAACAAGCTTGCTTAGGTGGAACTCAAACCAATAACCTGCTTACTAGTGCAAACCAGAGGGCACACCCTGCATTCAAATGTAGGCTGCACTCTCTAATTTTATGTCACTCAGAGATTTTGAAATTACTTACTCCATGCATATAGAAGTGTTGAGGTCAAGTTCAGTATTATTGAAACATTACGGGGAAAATTCTCCTTCGACTTCGTGCTCAGTCTTATGTATCAATTGTTTGGCTGAGTCACTGCAGTCATTCACTGTACACAAACGAATGAGAGGTGGTTTTAGTTATTGGAGTGGACCTCATTTGGGGGATAGCGGGACATGCTCATGTCCATCTTCACATTATCTGGTAGTGAGTTTTGTGCCCCAAACTGTGGTAAGGGGTACATAAACTAGATTACTGTATGTCAGTTGACAAGTCCGACGAGACACCATTCAGGTGTCTGAACCTGAGCACGCATGCACTTCGGCAAGGAATTTCACATGCACGCACTGCCTGCGTGCAAACAGGATGGCCCCACAGTAATGGCTTCTAATTTTGGTCGTCGAATTTGTCTATAGCATCTGCAGGTTTTGTGTTGAAATTTTGTACAAGGTTCATTGGCTTTGGAAGGCTATAACAGTGTATTTACTGATCAACTCCATGTGTGTAGTGTATTAAAAAGTAAAGCATTGGCTAAAAATAAAATTTTGCAGCTGAACAACTTGCCCAGTTGTGTCATTGATTTGGATGCATGTTTTGAGTACATCATTGCGGGTCGTGACCTTTATAATGAATAAGCACTTAGCAGTCTACATGTAGACCTCCTAATGTAAACTATGGAGCCAAAGAAAATTCCTGTATACTCGCAGAAATTGTTCACTCAGCCACCCCTATTGCAAACAAAACTGTTTCACAGTGTTTTCACTTGAGAAAGGGCAGTAAAAACATTAACTTCATTCCCACGATGTACACTTCAGCTGCATAGTGATTTCCTTGACTGTTTTCATTTTGCCACTAACCCTGACCCCCAAATGCCTTGAAATCGGTTTCAAAGTGGGGGATACAGCTTTTGTTCAGGGGGCCAGAAAAAAAAGTATGTCACCTAAACTCACACAACCTGGATGAGGCAAAATTCCTCAAGGGACTCAATCTTTGGACCTTTGGGAACAAAAGTGATCCATTGTACCCAATGCATCCCAATCAGTTTTCCAAGACCCAATGCCATTTGTATAAAGCCAATGGACATACCCATTAGTAAATCCTAACCCATTCTTTTCTGATAAATATCAACACTCATCACACCAACAGTTTTATGCATGATAAAATTCAGATTTTTAATTTATACCTCAGTAGGATGTATATAAAATAAACGTGGCTGAATGCACCCATAATCGTTATTTACTCCTTATTCACACTTTACCCACAATTATACAAAAATACTCCATTTTGTAAATTTTGTTATTACTGTCGTGTACATTAACAGTTGTGAACAATTGTTACTAAATAATCCTATAGGTACTGTATGGTATTGAGGTTATGTACCTGACAGTGATGTTTTAGTCTCAATTCAAGTCTGCATTGGGTGGAACACAAGTGCCTTGATAACATCACACCAAATGCAAATGACTGTTCTGAAAGGCTACTTTGATCGTGGTTACATTATGGTTTGACGGAGTGCCATGCATATGCAGCAAGGTTTGAGACGGAGGGAACCCCCCCTGCTTTGTGTTGGTGATTGTCTCGCAGGAATCTGGGGAATTCCTTTCAGACATCTTGGGGGATGTGTTAAGTATCAATAGTTTGGAATGTGTATAGGGATTGGACATGTTGGGGGGTACCCCTCGGTCTCATTTCTTGCTGGGTATAGTGCCATGTGCTGTCACTTCTGACTTGGAAAGAGACTTATCCATAGAAAATTTTAGCAAGACTATCTTGGGCAGGTGCACTGTTAACTGCAGGCCCAGTAACATTAACAGCCAACTTACCAACTGCCTTATATATAATGCATACTATCATTCAACAAACAAAAATACAGCCACATCATATAAATTGGACTTTGGAAATTTGTACCTGCAAAATTATACCGAAGTGTAAAACCAACTGACTGTGTAAAATGGGTGTCACCTAATGTTACACTATTGATTTGGGTTGTTCATTTACAATGTACCTGCAAGAAAGACATTTTTCAACTGTCTAGCTACATGTATATCACACATGCTCACCAAAATTGTATGTTTAAGGTACATGTACATTGGCTAAATAGACGACTAAAAATGTCGACTCTGAATCAAGCAGTGGCAAAGATGACTAATCTCAACCAATTTTTGTATGTAACAATGATACTCAATTTCCCATAAAATCTCATAAACATTACTTATGTTACTAGTCCTGTTTTCATCCTAAATACTGTATCAAAAGTGAAAGACACAAACTACACTGTATAGCGAGCAGCAGGAGTACTTTGAAATCATAATCCCAGCATCTGACAACAGAATTCAATTTCAAAACTTCACCGATTCTCCACAGTTCACGTTTAGATGACTCATGGCAAATACATGCCGAGGGCAATAAAGTATATGTATTTGCTCAAATAAAATGTCCTGGCATCACAACTTCAGGTACATGTACAAAAATGTACACCTCCTTGGTGTCCTAAGCCTGGAAAACGTTTAGAATTCTAAAAGTGAGGAAATGTTGGGGTAAAGTGAACTAACAATGCTGCAATGTTGATGAAATAAAATGCTAAGAAACAAACATGTGTTTATAGGCAGCGGAAACCTGATTTGAGACAATTTACAAGTTTCATGCCAGCCAAGAGAGCACAATTCGGAAAGACATGGGGATTCATTACCATATTACCACTCAAAAAAAGGAAAAGAAAATTTCAGACACAGTGCTCTAATTAAAGTGCCATCAGGAGAAATATACACTATTTGACTGCATGCACCTTTGTACAATGGCACAGATCCTGGGGATGAGGAAACTATAGATCCCCCAACATACACACACACAAACACTTACCTTACATACCTAGTGTGGACATTCCTTTCTTTTCGTGCAGTTAAAGAAAACTCAGTGAAAATACTTTTCTTGAACTGGGAACACAATTTTCAGCTGGCTTTTTGTACAAGGTTTCCTTGACTATTCCTCTTCCTTTTACGATGATGAGCCCAACCCAAAAATTTCTCTAAACTTCTTTTTCAGAGAAGGGGAAACGTCCTGTGGACATGTGTAAGTCCACTGAATGCCTTCCATTCCTGCATCGCGTGGATATCTTTTGTTAACAAGTCCACACTAGGTCTGTAAGGTTAGTGCACATTCGCTAATGTGTAAAAATACCAGCAATCATGGACCTTCTATTCTGCTCCTTTTTGATTGGCTCTTAAAGGATTGAGACTGTGACCCACCTATGGACCCACTTGTCTCAATCAATGACCCTCGATTTGAATATACATGCACATGTACATGGACACTTCTTGACCAGGGACTATGGGCCAAACAATCATCCCTTCTAGATAGTTGTATCAAACACCATCAATAATTATTGCTCACATGTAACTTCACTGACTTTATCATCGGCCCCCTCTCTTGTACTGTGGCTCAAACCTACACCCTTGTGCATTTGTCAATGTGGTCAGGTAGCATGCTTAGGATATAAAGTTATAAACTATAGCTTCATTAAAAACAGGTATTACAGCTGTGCCTTACACGTCAAAGAAACCTTCATGATGATCACACACACATATACGTAGTTTCAAAAAAACCAGCTTTCTGACTTTTTGATGAAATTTCAACAGTGGTTGTTACCATTACTGGGGGAGTACTATGTGATCGATACTTAGTCAGGTTGAGTCTTGAGCAGTCTTTGGTCCAACTCACATCTCAGCGAGTTCTTTTCTCTTTTTTTGGAAAGCCCAGAGCATATAGATCAGCAAAAAGCAATGTTTGTGTTAGAAGTCATTGACTGATGGATTACATGCCCATTCTTGATTTAGCATCATGATCTAAAGTGCTCGCAACATCAATAAATGTATATTCAACCAATACAATGATTGTATCTACCGGTGCCATGAGCACATCACCTAACAGTGAGCAAGTTCACTTTTTCAAATAAGCAAGGTCATCTCATGCAAGGTGCCTGATGTCACGCTACCACAAACATGTTCAGTGTGTGTGAGTCAGTGTTATAGTCGAGACCTGGAAGTCCAAGACCGAGACCAGGAAAAAACACCAGTGTTGTAGGGCTCGAGACGGGTCTCGAGACCTACAACACTGGTTTGAGTTGGCACACGGACCTGCTGATTTAGGCTAACCACATGCATGCATATTACTGTTCCCGAATGATGCACTTCATTTGGGGCAGGAATACTCAACTGGCCCATGACTGTCGATGGGTGTACACCTAGACCATGCATGAGCCCAGTTAAAAATCTTCCCACCAAGCTGTCTCTTCTTTGCTGGTGCAGGACTACACAGGGAGAAGAGTTTTGTTGAGAATTTATGAGGTAGGGAAATGAGTACATGTGGAGGCGGCACCGTTAACTTCAAGGGAATAAAAGGTATTACGTTAGCTACAATTGGAAAGTTTACAGATAATTTCTTCGGAGCAATTTACCAGTAGAGCTGCCAGGTACCAGTAAATTCCTCAAAACTAAATTTACTTTGAACTAAAAGTTCACTTCTCATATTAAGAAATGTACAGAAATCACTCTTCTGCAACGTGGTTTGTTGTGACTGCACAGTGGTGTAAAGAGACACCCAGGAACAAGGAGTTTCTAATGAATTGGGTATGGCAGGGCTCCCCAAGCATTGGTACAACCAGGGTACAGTATTTGAAGCGCCCTGTGTAACGTGTAACGCACTACCCCTCCAAATTGACTGTCAACACAGCTGTGCACAAAGCCCTGTCCTTTAAACCAGTCTAGTTACAGGTAGTTAAATCAAACCAAAAGCTTCCATTTTTTTCAATGTTTTACGCATACATGTAATAGATCTTATTAAAACTTGGACTTTCTTGCAGTGTGTACAAAAGTACATTGGCTGCACTTATATAATTTATAAATTACATGTATTTAACAAAGCAAAGGACTATCTTTTAAAATGATGCCATGTCAGCATTTCACATTGCAGAAAAATTCAAGTGCACTGTAAAGGCTGCTTTATCTGTGCTGTGAAAAATGCTGACACCCATCTGTAGACACTGCCAGACAGCAACGCCTGGACACCGTTCACAGAATTTTATTAACCTGAGTGCTTAAAATTAACAATTTCTGTAGATAACGGTAGTTTTCAAACTGCAAGACATCTGATAATGTAAATTGTATGTGTATTTGCATTATACTGCACATAATAAAATAATGGATGGATGGAACAAGAGTATGGAATCCAAAAGGTGGCACTCTTGATAAAAAAAAATCTATTTGCCACACCAGTATTGTGAATTCCCTGAATGACATGTTTACATGCTGCATGCATGCAATAAATAAATTTCACATTTTAAAACACTTCTACAGTAGTTAAAATGTAAAGATTCATTTTTTACATAGTGAGTGTAGAACAATCAATCAAAAGGGTTTGATAAACCAAAAATATTTCATGAAAGACAAAACTTTCAAAATGTAGATCCAGTTATTTCATTCTTTCCCTTCTGAACCTAATTCAAGTGAAGATGACAGGTATATCACTTTCTCACACAGCTGAAGTCAAGTTCTCATGAGTCTAATTTTCCATTCTATCACAAGCTATTCTCATGAACTATGGAAGAGTTAGGCCTGCAAATTTTGGGTAATTTCTGCAACAGATTGACTGTTTCCTTTTGATTATAGCTTTGATTAATGTTGGACAGCCAATTTTCTTATGCAAAGGTTTAATCATCAATAAAGAAGCAAACCGTTCGTCTTGATGAATGTTTTTCACCACGCCATCTTTACGATTCATGTCGTCCATTTCAAATACGTTTCTCTGTGTTTGTACCTATTTCTTGCTGGTAATGTTTGAGATTTTTTAATCAAGAAGTTCTAGCAATTCTCTTTCACCATCTGAAAGGAAGCCTCTATATTCATGGATTGGTTTTGATTTCAAAAGACAACCCAATAATGGATACAATTACATGCGCAATCAAATAATACCTGCAGGCCAAGACGCACGTTTGCCATCATTAATTCCTTTATGGTCAGACTTGTAATAGGTCTCTCTCTAAAGACGTCACTTCCTACAAATTGCCACGCGCATCTGTAGTTTGGAATTTTAAATTTTCATAATGCACATCGGCTATTTGGATCAACATGCGTACATGTATAAAACATTTGCACACTGTGCCAATGCACACCTGATTGTGTTGAATACGCGGTTGTGATTTTCTTACAAAGAGGGCGTCTCATGAGAGAGATTTACATGAATTACTTGGCTTGTGAGGTAGTCCATCCTGTCTAGGGCATTTTTCAAGACTTTACACAAACTGTTATGTTTCCAAACAGACCTCTTTCAGTTCAATGATAGCATTTGTGTAGCCAACGACAGCCTTATCCATCCAAGACACAGTGTTGGGTACCAAGAACCCCCCTTCAAAGAACCCCAGGTGACCGCCGTGTTTGGTCAGACAGTAGATGGCGTTAGGTGCTCGTTGGGCATAGCGTACCGGTGTGTCGTTATGCCTGACTGGGATAAGATGGTCATCCGCTGCGTTCAGGAGCAACAAAGGAATGTGAACCTGTGGAAAGACAAATGAATGCTAGTCACCCGCCCACCTGTCTGAAGACAGCCCAAAACAAGTTTGGGCAAGCAGTTTTCATGGGTTCCAAATTTACGAATCCTTTTTTATATAAATCTGGAACACTGATGAACAAGACTTCACAATTTCTTTCAAGATACTGGGTGCAGTGGAAATATGGCCCGCAATGAGCCCCACGGGGCATCACTTTTCAAAATGTTTCCTGCGGCAGGGCAGGCAGTTCTTAACTTGTAGCAAGAGAATGAAAAAAGCCCACCTTGTCAATATGAACAGAACTGCTGCATTCCTTGTAGAAATCTTCACAGCTGTTGCTGCGCACCATTTTGCTGTGGAGGAAAGTATCCCAAATCCTTTTTAATAGGTAAATAAAAATATTTCTATGTTTTCACTGCTGTGGTTTTGTTAGTGGGGACTTTATCTTGTAGCTTGCTTTGCAAATGTTCAGGCATTTTGTTTCCAGTTTCTAGTCAAGTATTTCAAAACTCAGAAGTTTTACTTTTTAAAAGTATAAATGCCAAAGGGAACACACGTCCAAGTACATGTACATATGCAAACATATGCGCCACAAAAAGGCAAACAGATAAGCATAATAAAGCTCTGCCAATATGCAGTGAATGAATTAACCCTAACCCCCGGGCCCTTTTACCAGGAACCATCCTGAATCCTCCGAAATCCTCAAATTTTCAACATGAAAAAATTGTATTCTGCCCAAATCCTCCAAAATTTCATTTGGAGGTGTGCCTAACTGCCCGACTCCTTCAAATCCGGCAATTCTTGTCATTATATTGAGGCAGTGCGAATGGCACTCTTGAGCTGTGCAGTTGATTCAAAAGAAATATCAGGCTGAATTTGTGCTTGACTAAGCACAAACAACATAAGGTCTAATCCATGACCTTCACACTTGGCTTCCTCCAAATTCCTCCACTTTGCAGAGAAGGATTTTGGAGGATTTAGGAGGGTTAGGGTTAATGGAACAGCTGTTGGGTTTTTGTATCCAGTTGCACATCACTGTGCACCTGTGTGGCAATGATTTCACACAAAATCCAAAGGAGTACATGAATTGCAGTTCACTATTGTTCATCATTCTCCAAGATCACCATGCTCTGCGGACATTTGAAGCAAGATATGGATGGAGAGCACCCCCCTTGTGTTGGTCATTGTTCAATCGGAATCTCAGGAATTCTTTTCAGACATCTAGGGGGTGTGTTAGGTAACAATAGTCTAGAGTATGTATAGGGGGATTACCCCTCGGTCCCTTATCTTGCTTGGTATATCTGGAGATCTTCATGTTTATCAGGGACGAGCAAACTTCCCCAGACAGTGTGCAGTGAGTGAAACATTTTTCAGATTTTAATTTTCCTTACAAACATCTGGACAGTTGGCAAGCATGCTGTACTCCAGTAGCTACCTATACGAGGAACCAGTGCCAAGTACCAACACATGTACATGTAAGTCATGCTTGTAGTTCTACATTAAATAACTTACTGTGTCAAATGTTCGTCTAAGTGAACCAGGCTAGTGGAGTTCATGATCTGGTCAATGTTATAAGCGATCGGGTCTGACTCACGGTCGCGCCAGTAGGCCTTGGCCTGCTCGCCAAACAACATGCCGCTGTTGCGCCGTATTTCAGACAGCATGTTCTGCGCCATCATGAAGTTGTACAGACGACGGCAGTTTTCCCATTCGTGTAGTACATAGGTTGCCCTGAAATCAAATGACCAGAAATCCCTTCTAATATGATTAAGGGAAATGCAATAACACGCTCATTTCAAATTTTGTTTCCCTTTGAGTAGACCTATAATCATTATGTTGAAAATTACCAAGATCGTTTTGTTTTTCACCTAATTTGTGTATTTTTTTCACTTGTTTTAA